GCTTATTGTTCGTACAATAATAATAACGTACAATAAATCGTCTTCAAATACTGTATATACTCGAGTATAAGCCTAGTTTTTCAGCCCATTTTTTGTGCTGAAAAAATCCCCCTCGGCTTATACTCGAGTCAGATTCCCCTCTGAAAAAAAAATGGTGTGGAGTCGCGGCCTCCGGCGGCAGCGACTCCCAAGAGCCCCAGCCGGGAAGGGAAAGGCAAAAAGCGCTTTGCCTTTCCCTTCCCGAGGCGGCGGGACTGGGGCCGCTCCGGCGGCAGCGACTCCCAACAGCCCCAGCCAGGAAGGGAAAGGCAAAAAGCGCTTTGCCTTTCCCTTCCCGAGGCGGCGGGACTGGGGCCGCGCCGGCGGTAGTGACTCCTGACTCAGGGGGCCTCCGAGGGAGGGGAAGAGAGTGACTCCTGCCTCCCGCTGTCATCATCATCTTCTTCTTTTGGGTTAGTGAATCAATTAAACCTTTCATGATAGTGAGATCGTTTCCCAAATTAATTATTTTTATTTTTGAAATTTACCAGTAGCTGCTGCATTTCCCACCCTCGGCTTATACTCGAGTCAATAAGTTTTCCCAGTTTTTTGTGTAAAATTAGGTGCCTCGGCTTATATTCGGGTCGACTTATACTCGAGTATATACGGTAATCCTCTAGAGATTTCTAAAGGAAGGAGAACAAAATGTAAATTACAAAATAACTTTAAAATGCCTAGACTCTACAGGAATGTGCTGTAAGCTGAGAGCACAAAATTGGTAGCATTGGCCCCAGCTATACTGAAATGGAACGAACCCTCCATAGTCCAATGGCCAACACGGAGAAGATGTCTTATGGTGAAATCTCCTGGCAAGACTATCTACACCAGAGGCTCCTCTGAAGGTTGTATGGCCGCTTATAGTAGGAAGGTACATAGAGACACACCCCTTCTGGAATTGTGACCAAGCCATGTAAACCTTCAATGGGTCAGAGCTCCAATGTGACCAGGCAACCAGTGAAGCTGTTTTTTTCAGAATCTGATAAAATTTATGTCTGGTTGCACTGGTTAAAGATCTGCAATTGTGCTGAGCATTGTTCGTGAATCATCTTCATGGGTATTTCAATCTTCAATGCATCATAGGTCATTTTCTCTATCAAGATCAAAATCTGCAAGTGGGGCATGACATCATGGTCACAGTCTCACTCATTGTGTGCACAGACAAAGGGTGGGACTCTGATTGTGAGCTTGCATTCATCATCCAGCAAATTTTGAGAAAGTTTGCAAGATCTCCCAAGCTTTCCTGCCATGCAGATTTGCGGGGGATCACAATTCTTGGCATTTTCCAGGCTCACAATGTCTTCCATCACATCAGATTCTTGTTTTCTTCTGCAAAAGGCCTGTGGGATTTAGCCTGAGTAAACCTTTAGCAGAACATTCTTTGAAGAAGACCATTGAAAGTATTTGTTCTACAATCTTTTCTAGGAAATAACTATGCAAATATAAGAATGTGTACAGTGTAGGGCAGCCTTCAATTGCATCAGACCACAACTTATAAAGTTCCCAGCTATCATAGTGATGGTTGGGGGAAGGTTTGGGTAAGGGTTATGAATTAAGTAGTCCCCATTTTTAATTTTCATTTTGCCTAAGAATTAATTGGGTTACCTTGGACAAGCCACTTTCTCAGTAATACTGTTTCAGAAACACCTGGGATTTATGAAAACAGATTAACAGAATTGAAAGGGACCTTCCAGGTCATCCAGTCCAACCCCCCCCACTCAAGCAGGAGACCCTACACCATTTCTGACAGATGGCAGTCCAGTCTCTTCTTGAAAGCCTCCAGTGACGAAGCTCTCACAACTTCTGAAAGCAACTTCTGTTCCATTGGTTGATCATTCTCACTGTCAGAAAATTTCTCCTTATTTCCAGGTTAAATCTCTCTTTGATCAGTTTCCATCCATTGTCCCTTGTCTGGACTACAGGTGCTTTAGAAAATAGCTTGACCCCTTCCTCTCTGTGGCAGCCCCTCAGATATTGGAACACTGCTATCATGTCTCCCCTGGCCCTTCTCTTCACTAGACTAGCCAAGCCCAGTTCCTACAACCGTTCTTCAGATGTTTTAGCCTCCAGTCCCCTAATCATTGTGGTTGCTCTTATTTGTACTTTTTCTAGAGTCTCAACATCTTTTTTATAGTGTGGTGACCAAAACTGGATGCAGTACTCTAGGTACGGTCTTATTAAGGCTTTATAAAGTAGTATTAGTACCTCACTTGATCTCGATTGTATCCCTCTGTTAATGCAACTTAAGTTTGCATTGGCTTTTTTGGCTGCTGCTGCACACTGCTGGCTCCTATTTAGCTGGTTGTCCACTAAGACTCCAAGATGCCTATCACAGTAACTGCTATTAAACTTGGTTTCACCCAATCTGTAGGTGTGCTTTTGGTTTTTCTTGCCTAAGTGTAGGACTTTATTTTTCTCTACATTGAATTTCATTTTGTTAGATAGGGCCCAGTGTTCAAATCTGTCAAGATCCATCTGGATCTTGAGCCTATCTTCTAGGGTGTCAGCTATTCCTGCCAGATTTAAGAAGTTTGCACAAATGTTAGCAGAGTTAGAATAAGATTACTGATTCCTCACATTGCTACAAAGAGTTTAAACTAACACAACATTGAATTGTCCTCAATGACTGTGGATTAAAGACTGAAAGTTATTAGGTTGCGTTGTATTGACCTCATTCAATCAGGTAGATCAGATAGAACATTAAGGCAAGATACTTCTGAGTGATTTATGCCATCCTAATAGTCATGGAAAGCCTCTCCTCGTTGTTGTTATTTAGCACAGCCATAACTGGATGTTAGAAGTTCCTAATAAGAATTTGGGTGGTGATTTATTCCAGACCAGTCAGGAAGCTCTGTTGGGAGCAATAATTTAATTGTGGACCTTGTCCAAATTTTAACACACTTAACTGTACTGTCTGCTTAGATCAACAAGTTTGGCAACTGATTAAGAATGGCTGCAGGATTTGGGTTTGGCTAGTCTAAGGAAAAGAAGAATTAGGGGTGATAGGATAGCAGTATTCCAGTACTTGAGGTGCTACCACAAAGAAAAGGAGGTCGAATTATTCTCCAAAGCACCAGAGGGCAGGTCAAGAAACAATGGTTGGAAACTAATGAAGGAGAGAAGCAACCTAGAATCAAGGAGAAATGTCCTAACAGTGAGGACAATTAACCAGCTTGCCTTCAGAAATTGTGGGTGCTCCATCGCTCAATGTTTTTATGAAGAGTCTAGATAGTCACTTATCTGAAATAGTATAGATTATCCTGTTTGAGCAGGGGGCTAGACTAGAAGTCCTCCAGCACTTCCACCAGCACTTCCACTTCCTCTTCCTCCTCCACCCCCTCCCCTCCTCCTCCTCCTCCTCCATTTTCCCAAAAGTGTTAGATTCACTTTTTTTCCCTAGATCAGCCAGGTGTGATCCATTCTGACTAACCAGTTTGAAGCCCAAGCCTAACTTCATGGGTTGGCAGAAAGTGACTGGCCCAAAGTCACTCACACTGGCTCTCAAACGTTAGTGGATGTAGACAGCACATGCATTTTAATGGTATGAGTGGAATTTTTCCTAGCATTTAGGTCAGAGGTCTTCAAACTTGGCAACTTTAAGACTTGGGAGTTGAAGTCCACAAGTCTTAAAATTGCCAAGTTTGGAGACCCCTGACTTAGGTAGATGCCTGGCCCTGGATTGGCTGTTCAAAAATGGCTGCCATGTTGAGTTTAGTCAATCCCCAAAACGCCGATGTAGAGATAAACTGGTGAGGTTCCCTAACACCCCCAAATATTTTTTCTGTGTTCTGTAATAGTTATTGAGAGCGAATGAAAACACTTTCCAACGAATACTATGTTGTGGTAACCTAGATGTTGGCACTTTGCTTTGTAGTATGCCAGTTTCCCTTTATTTTATTAAAGGAATCTTAGAAAATAAAGCAATGCAAAAATAATAATAATTGAGTACCGAGGGAGGTTCTCATAGGCTGGTATCTTCAGGGAGCACACAATATATCAATTTTTAATCCCTTCTCGACAGGTTAAGAGCACTTTTGAGAATGTGGATTAAACTCATATCATATGCCTGGCTCAAAATCCAGATTATTGTTGCTTCCTCTGTTCCTGTTGTTTATTTTCTTTAAAAGTTATGCAGACAGTTTCTAGAATGTATCTCTTTGTCTGCCTATAAAATAGATTTTTTAAAAAAAGACAAAGCTAATAATGGAAATTATTCCTTCAAAGGTTAAGAGGCTTTTCCCTTTAAAGCTACACTCCACATATACGTGGGCTCCACTCTGCAAAATTTCATGGGTCAAGAATTTTGAGGTTGCTTTCCAGCTGGGAAAAGTTATACGCCAATTTTTAATTTATCTGCTGTTTTGTTTTTGCTTTTTAAACAGCAAACAATGATAGCAGGCACAAAAGGCACAAATAGTGGGCATATTTCTTTCTGGGTTATATAGGAATATCGACAGCCGTTGTCCGAATTAAGAGTGATAAATAAAAATATTGTAACCTGTTTGTAGCCTAAATCTGATTTAATTGGTCATCCTCTGTGTTATCCTTGCATATGTGAAGAATCTTAGAGGAAACAGAAACTAAATATGAAATCTTAAGGCTGATACCACAGTCTTGTTGTCTGAAGTTGACATGGTGATATGGCCCACAAAAACAACTTGCAAACTGCTTTCTTTCCTTTCCTTTTTTTCCCTTCTCTTTGAGTCCTAAGCAAAGGAACAAGGAACAGAATAGTTTTGCTTATTCATGGCTTATTAAGTAGCCCCTAGTTGGCTGGATTCCTTTAACCACTAAGCTTAGCCTGAAAAAGCCACTTTATGTTTTAACACAATGCCTAAAGCTATATGTGGGTCACCTGAGCACACAGACCAGCTCGGGAGTATTTTATAGAACTGGGGCTGTGCAAGGTGCCTTGGCGTGGAGAAGGCCTGGCCCTCACTCTGTGTGTGTTCCTCTCCTTGCAGTGGGATGCTAACAGTGCCTCGGAATGCCTTATGTAGACCGTCAGAATCGAATTTGCGGATTCCTGGATATTGAGGATAATGAAACCTGTGGGAAGTTCCTACGTCGGTATTTCATTCTGGATACCAAAACCAACAGGCTTTTGTGGTACATGGACAATCCTCAGGTGAGTCACTCCCTCTAAGCATTTTGTCAAGTTCCTAAAAAACCCTCATTCAAGCGCCCTGGTGACGCAGTGGTTAGAATGAAGTATTGCAGGATATTCACTGCCAGCAGTTCGATTCTCACCGTCTCAAGGTTGACTCGGCCTTCCATCCTTCTGAGGTGGGTAAAATGAGGACCCAGATTGTTGGGGGCAATAGGCTGATATTGTAAACCACTTGGAGAGGGCTGTAAAGCACTGTGATGTGGTATATAAATCTAAGTGCTATTGCTATCGATATCTTATCTCTCTCTATGTCTATCTCTCTATCTCTCACTATTTCTGTCTGTCTTATCTATTAATATCTATCCAGTCTATATTTATTGTCATCTTTTTCTTTTATATCTCTATCTTCCGTCTATCTATCTATCTATCTATCTATCTATCTATCTATCTATCTATCT